TTTTCACATTCCAATAAATGTATTATATGAGCCAGACAACATTGTAACGGCACAATCTTAAAATAGCAGGCTACCCTTGAATATGTATCTTCAAGCAGAAATGTTGTCGAGGGACGTTTCAACGTCAACTATAAAATGCCAACTGCGAATCCCAACATTTTCAAAGTTTCATACGTAGGTAAAGAAAAACGTTTCACGTTACAAATTCCTATTCGAGCCCGCACACGTCTTCACATGAGGGATGGGACACTTAAGTAGATAAATACAGAACGGCTAAGATCACAGGAACACTTAACAACGTCGGGAAAGATTTATTTCCCTAAACTTTACGAGAACGAGTCCCCACATAAATCTCCTCGTGTGTTTTTAGAGGTAAATTGTAATTTTCAGCATCAACATCATTTGTGAAATAAATCAAAAGTAATTACCAAGTAGGGTAAACCGTATAGCTATTGCCCACTTAAGAATTTCAAAAACATTGAGATGAAAAATTAAAGAAAGTATTTTAATTATCGACCATTTATGACTTTTTTCTTATAACTCAATAAACTGTTAAACAGAATATTAACAGTTTTTAGTTAAAACTTACGTAACTTAGAAAATATTGAAATAAATTTAAAATCCTCCAAAAAGTACAGTCATTGCCCATTACTTACACCAATTGCCCACATCAAAGCACAGTAATTGCCCAGTATCTTAAAACAAAATAATCAATTTTAAAATGACAAAGTAGGCTTTAAATAAACATAACAAAACATTAAACTTAAATTCTAGTTGTACAGTCTTCAAAAATTTCAAAATAAATTGCGTTTGGCCTTATTAACTATATTATCAAATATTTCTTGAGCTGATGTTGATGAGTCAGAATTGGTAGAGACAGAATCATCTACTTCAAAACATAGATGACGCAAAAATTTGAATTTTACATGTATTTATTTTTTTATCTTCTTTGATATCAGTTCAAGTGGTTGCTCAGAATGTTCAATTAGCTGTTGGTTATTCTTCCCTAAAGTTGTATCTATTTCCTTACAATTAACATTTTCACTAATAGATTTAATGTAGGATTTTCAGTTTTTGTATTTGCGTTTGAATTTTTATCAATTTTTTCAAGCCAAACCATATTTTTCAGCAATTTATCTTGTAGATAAATTGTTGGATAGGTACATCTTGTACAGCTTTGATCGCTTTTTGCAAATGTTCTATGCTATATTGAACTTTTAAGTCTTTGGCATACTGAAAATGAAACATTAAAAGTCATTTCAATATTTATGCATGTAAATTGCAAAACAAATCTTGCAATGAGCAACTTAAACACTGCTACTGCATGGTGGCAACACTCTAATAATAATTGCCCTGGGCAATAACTATACATTAACATATGGCAATAACTGAAATTATGGTGGGCAATAACTAAAAATATACAGATTTACGTGCAGTGATTACCCACTGACTGACTGAAAATGACTGTTAGAAATCAAATTTTATCAGATATTTTCATTGATAATGGAGAAAACACTTATAATTTCATCATGACTATACACCATTAGTTGAATATTAAATAACTTGCAAAAAAAAATTAACCTCCAAGCAAGTAATTCCTTAGTAAAATTGTTAAAGTCTTTACCTGTCTGAGTAACATTTTCACCCGTCTCGACAAAATCCGCCATAACTGTTTTTTTAGTGTTTCCTATTGTAAATTTTAAATCTACTGTTCATTGATCTCGGAGCCATCTACTTAGTAAATTCAAATCTAACTAGAGTGATTCAAAGTCAGCACCTGACAATATTATTCTTAAAGCGGGCAATCACTACCAGTGGGCAATCACTCTCTGGTTTACCCTACGTTTCAAGTTGCAACTCTTTGGACGTTAAATCAATATTTTCTCGTCATATTCAAATTAATGCTAGAATCTAGGTCAACAATTTTCCCGCTATCTGCAGGTATGTTTGAATAACATCGAAAGGAATAGTTAGGTATCCGCAGTGGGGAGGCGGTGAAGTAGTTAACTTCAATTAACGCCATACCGCAATTAGTTAACAGATGGGACGTACTCTAAGCTTAGTGCCTACCTAATTTATGGGATCTTGTTAAGGAACATTTGTACCTGAAAATAGTAAATTCTATTTCGTCGACCAAACTCAGTTCTAAGCTCCTTAGTTCTTGCAATATTTTTTACTTAATAGCTTTAGCTTTTTATAAGTACGAATATATCTAATATAATATTGTCTTTTGCTATTAAATCAACAAAGACAGAGTAAGAATCAGTAACTTTTCCGTTAAATAACCACGTTATTCTTGTATGAAAACAATGTATAAAATGTAGCCGGTATTCTCCGTTGTATTGTTTCCATAAACTTAGTAATTGGCCAAGTTAGCGACCGTCAGCGTTCTGGTTACCTGTCAGCTTATTAAAAGTTTGAACAAATTGCTATTCGGGCTCAACTCCTATGGCTCAAAGGCTCATATTAGCTGAGCCTGCATATTTCTCAGCAAAAGAACATTAACGCCACATGCCACTGCTGTAGATGGAAAGACCCAGTTACTTGATCTCGAGGTACAATTTTGCATTAATAGGTACCTTTTAGGTATCATGCGTGGATGTATGAGTAATTACTTAAGTGCACCACTATTGAACTGCATAGCAAAATGTCTCTATCACTTGTTCCATAATAAGTAATCATATTCAAACATAAATGAACATGTGTCTCATCGAGGAACATAAATGTGAATTTGGAATTTATTAAATACTTGTATTTAGGAACAGAAATGAATTTGGGTATCGAATTACCTTACTAAAAATAATGTCCAAAATATTACGAGAGGTCTCTGGAAAAGTAGGCTATAATGCTTAAAATTAAGTTCAGAAATTCGTAATAAATAATGTTACGGCCAATAGTACCTTCAAGGTAATGTGACCATTGCCGCATTTCAGGAAGATGAAAGGGACATTAAGAAAAATATGGCACAAAAAGTATCCCACGTTTTGAAGAATAAATGGCTATAATTTTGTCATTTTGTGTCACTTCGGGCTTAAACGTAGGGTTCCAAAATAGGTCCCCGAGAAAGTTCTTCAGACAACATTAGTCTGTAAAGTTTCATCGCTTATTCTCGTCTCTTTGTCCTGGTGAGACGCCTAATTTGGACTCATTCTAAATGTGATTTAAATGAATGGGCATAAAGCTTAATAGGCTAAATTTGAATGAATATAAATCACTCTTTTTCTTCAAATGAATAAAATAAAGACGTTTTCTCTGAAATCGTCTCAGAAACTTTTTAATTATTCAGTTATCAAAGCAACCATTTACAATTCAGTATTTCGCTTGAACTCCAACATAAAACTTAAGCAGCTTACCGTGCTAGGGCCGTTGTGATACCAAGTGTAATGCAACATAAGCGCCGTAGTCACGTTCTGGCAACTACTGTAGGGTGACCATCAGTTCTGGTCTTGGACGAATAAACCACTGGACACGAAACCTACAAGATTTCTAAGGAAACACGATCAACCACTTTTTGCGGGGGGAGAGGTTTGACAATTGTCAAATAATGACATTTAGTGCTGGGAAAGGATCGTAAATTTTTATCGATAGTTATGTAAATGAATGAATGAATGAACCTAACGAGATAAATGAATTATGGATTGATTTAATATTGAAAGTTTCTTTAATTGAAAGACTATAATTAATTATTGTATCGTGTTTATTATAATGCCATTGGTAAATCATAGGTACAAATAATATTACAAATTATTCATATAGGTAGGTAACTAGGTGAAATATTTTTTGGCTGTGTTATCATTATCAAATTCGTAAAGCAATTAACAAGTAATATTCTGTTACGATCGACTGCTAACTAGCTTTTGGTCTCAACAAATGTTATAATCTGTCACACGTCACGGACAAAAGTTTCATCAATAGCCTATTTCTACACATTTCATGAAACACAATTTGATAACATTATGACAATGTATTGCTTTGTAGCGCTTGCAGTACGGATGCACTATCTGAGAATATTTAATTCTTATCTAATGTTGTTGATATTCTTATGTTTAGGTCATTCGAGAAGACCTCCTAGTACTTATTTCAGTTTTGAAGACGTCGGTATATCCTAACTTCATTGATTCCAGAGCAATTTCGCGTTTCCGCTGTAAGCTGGATATTATCTTTGGTCGAAGATGTGTACACAGGGTACCTATACTGTTGATGAGGGGTATTTCTTTTAGGGTTTTGTGCAGAATCGCGGAATATCCTGTCTCCTTGTTTTNATTGGGAAGTATGTGATATATTCAATGGTATATATGGTATACAGGAAGATAAAGTAAAATAGTTTCCTATACTTTACAAAACCATAGGTTTTTATTTATTTTAGATGTAACTTTCACAAACATTGGCAGTTTTGGAGGACGATGAAGGTCCCAAGACGAAGCAGAAATTTATAGAACGAACTCAAGATAATTGCAACTCTCGAACAATATCAGAGTATAGAAAATGTAACGTGGGGCTATGTGCAGCGTGCAATGCCAAGCTCCATTCCAAATTTTTGAATATTCAAAGATAAAAATGAATATTGCTTACCCAATATACAGCTTTTTTACATTTAATATCACTCCTGTTATTTGCTTGTATATTAATACATATTATAATAATAATAAAATATATAATTTACCCAATTTTTATAAAGTCCATGATAAAGTTATGTTTTAACCAACTGACACAGTAAGAGGCTAGCGGTACCATATGGTACCAGCATTTTTTTTCCAGATTACAGGTCGAATAATTTTTTTTGTGCTTGTATAGCATTATGTAGACCACAATTATGAATACATTTCAAAGAATAAGAATACATTTATTTGCTTAAAACACGGTATATGCAGATGTTACACAGAAAAATGTTCAGTCATGTTTTGCTTACACGAAGCATGCAAATATTAATTTTGGGCCAAAAAACCCAGTCATGTTAAAGGTACATACATTAGTGCTAAATATTGTTACAATAATCATTATATTCAAAACTCTCGGTCATTAAGGAACTCTGTGACACTATAATAGTTTTTACTTTTAAGCCATCCACGCAGTTTATTTGAAAATTGGCTAGAATTTAATGTTTTTATACTTTTTGGTATTTTATTATATATTCTAACACACATTGCTACACAATTTCGGTTATATTTCTCAGATCTAGGTATGACTTCCAGAACAAGTCTATCTGGGTCTCTACGGGTTCGCAAATTTATATCGCAGACTCTTTTGAACAACGTAAAATGTTTCTTGACAAAAGTACATATTTCTAAAATATACAAAGACGGTAATGGTAACAAACCAAACTCTAGAAATAAGGGTCTACACGATTTGTCGGATGGTATCCCAGCTATAGCTCTAATACATTTTTTTTGCGCGATGAAGGCTCTATTAAAATCTGTACTATTTCCCCACGCTATGAGGCCGTAGCGCAGAATCGATTCAACATAGGCATGGTAAGACACTAGTGCTGTTGATATATTAGTCACTTTCCTAACTTGTTTCAATGCATATACAAACCGATTGATTCTTATACAGAGATCATCTACATGTGCCTTCCAATTAATGTCTTGGTCGATTGTTATACCTAAAAATTTTGATATTTCAAAAAAGGTGTAATTATTACTTACATTTACTGGTGTGCTTGTTTTGTATGTTCCATCTATGTCTATCTCATAATCTTTTGTTTCATGTGACTAAAATTATCAAAACAAAAAAATCTATCAAAATCTAAAATTAATTTGAATAATTTCAGTTTCAGTTTGTTTGGTATATCGATAAACTTATCGACATTTTTCAAGCCCTTTACGTCATAAAAAATGAGATGTGAATGAATGAATGAAACCTATAATCCAACCAAATTAAATATGCTACATGTTTTAAGCATTTACATGTACAATGAGTACTTTTTAAAATGACGTAATCTTATTTTGTTTACATATCAAATTTTATTTATTTTACGAAAAAATAGCTACTATAATAGATTTAAAATGTACTTACGCGTGATAAGAAACATTTCTTGTGTGACAGGAATAATTTTTGCAATAAAGTACGGCGCATTTACCCATTTTTCGTGATATTTTTACTCTTCGAGAGCTGGCGTCATACTGACAAAGTGACAACCTGACAACATTTACCATGGCTAATTTAGCCATGGTAAGTGCTAGCGGGGTAAAGACGAAAACGTCACTCGTTACGCGTCCAGTGGTTTATTCGTCCAAGGTTCTGGTATATCAGGACACACCTAGAAAACCCGATCTTATGTCCGAATTTTATAAGAACAGAATCGGACTTGCACAATCCTATTCAAAACTGACAACGGTCTATTTATTACTGTAACAAATATTTCTAGACTTTTTCTGAAATGTTGGGTTTTCTTCCTATTTTTCCCAATTATATTATGGTAACCCTAACAACGAGGCGACTGCCAACACGGCCAACTAAAGTGTTAAGTATCTCAGTAAGAAGCGCTTTTATGACGCTACATTACCGATTATGAAAATTATGGACAGAGTTTCTTGAGCCTTCGCTACGAAAGTAATGTTTGCCCACTAATTAATTACTTTTTAGTTTTTGATTAACGAATACGTACATAAAATTAAGATTTAAAAGCTCTAAATATCTTTGGCTGTAGAATAAACAGATTACTGACTTGACATTTTCAATTTCCTAAGGCTTAAAATAATAGACTGCTATTAGCAATATGACGAACTGCTTCGAAAGTCATATTAAATAATTGTAGGATTTGTAATAATTATATAATTTACACTTGCAAACTTACATTGGATAAAGGCTTTCTCCAAGGATTTTCACTGGTTCGGATCGATCCTGGACTGTACTACATATAGATAGAGTATAATCTTCATCGAGTGTTCAAGTCACATTTTATAATATCCCTAAACATTTTGGCAAAGATCGTTTACCTTATTCCAGGAACACGTGCGCATGTTTCATAAAAAGTTCTGACTTTAATATAATATGAACATTATGGTTTCCTGGAATGTTACAATATTATTTTTCATTTATAGGCCCGTTTCCCGGGAAAATTGGTAAACAATATTATAAACACGTATGTTTGCCGGTTAAACTCGATTTGAAATATGCATAAACAAAGAAAGCGTCTTCTATGAATTTTAATTTGTAAAGATCACAATGAGAGCTTTTAAGATTAATCACAGATTTTAAATTACTTATAACTTAATATTAAATTGTACACGTACCTAGTAATTGCATTATCTGCTGTAAAGTGACATTGCCCTTAATCTGGTTTAAAATACCCGATTTAAACTAAAATAAAAATAAATTTTCCAATACCTTGGATATTGGAAATCTGTTATTTTAGCTGGTTTCAATAAATTGTTCCAAAAATTATACCAATTACATAAACAATAACTTTACATTTGAAACGGCAAACCTGATTGGTGTAGTCCACTCGAAAAGCATTGCAATTCATTAAAAATTTTATAGTATCTTTCATTGGGGTTCGCTCGCGGCTCGGCGGTCGTGTAAACAGCTTTTGTGTTTTAGAACAGGGTTTCTCAAACTTTCTGCTCCAAGAACCCCTGTTATAGTTTCCAGGTGACAGCGAACCCCTTAAAACTAGGTAATTATTTTAAACCCCCCTCCCCTAAAAAAATATGATAAAATTGACTATTGAAAACAATATTTTTAAAATTAATGTGAAAAAACAAGCACTGTTTCTTGTTGCAAATGGGATAATTTTTAGGAGCTATTTTGGTCAATTTTAAGGCTGTATTGTTTTAAACTTTCATGGTCACTAACATTATTATTATTACTGACGGGATTGCTACCATGTACCTTAATTTTGAGTTTCCGATATTTTGGCACTGTTGCAAACTAGTTGTTGTTGTTAAATTTTAAGGCTGGGTTGCACCATCTGACTTTAACTTCGAAAAACGTCAAAAATCTGTCAAATTCCATACAAAAAACGCCCGTTATCGTTATAGTTACGGTCCAAGTTAGGTGGTGCAACTCAGCCTAAGTCTGGCACCATTACGTAAATTTTGTCGCGTATACCATCGAATGGGGTTCGAGTACCCCACTTTGAGAAACCCTGTTTTTGAATGCCCGCCCGCCCGGGCTTGCGTAAATAAAATTTGATTTGGCGGATATTGTGCCTATTATTCACGATCGGTATCAATATGAAAGAGATCCATACCGAAATTCGTTTGGAGCATCGAGTCGAGTGTTGTTCTGCTGTTTCGGTTTCAAATATTAAACTACCTAATGACTTTCAGTGTTTTGAATGTGATTGTTTACGTTGTATTTACATCATAATTATAGCATAGACATTGACGTATTGAAAAAATCGAAAAAAAAATCTAATCAAGCAGTGCAAATCCCCAAAATGATTAAAGTCGTACTTATTGAGTTTTTCGTAATTCTAGGTTATCCTATGAATTTTATTCCAGAAACGGTCTATTCATGTGGAACAGATAAACGATTTCTAGTTCCAGATAAGGCAAGGTCCCCGACCGATTTGCACTCAGATACTATTTCTACTGGGACTGAATAAGGTTTTGGGACCAGTTCTCGACTTATAGATAATCTTGAAAATACCCTCGAATTCCGTTCATATAAAACGCTGGGTCTGAAAGAAATTCATGTCTGACGTAGATCGTTTATGTTAAATTTGTGGTAAAATTGTCAAAGAAATAGCAAAAAAAACTTGTTTAATCTACTTTTAGGGCAGTCTGAGGAAATGAACTTGTAAGTGGGCGATAGAAACGTCAAGTGGATAGGTGCTGTAAGCAATATTAGCCTCCACGTTTTAACCATAAAAGTAAATGGTACGGTTATTTATAGATGATTTTTTGGTTATTCTTTTGCGGCAAAGTATGACAGGCAAAGTAAATACAAGATAGAACATTTTAAAATAAAGACGATACATTCAAGATAATTATCTTGAATGTATCTTCGTCCAATATTATGTTCTTTCCACAACGCAGTGACATAACTAAGTTCAGATCTAATTTCCGAACAATTTTTTCACTGGACAATTATATTATTGACGTAGTTTGTGTGCGTGGCACGTAAGGCAGAATGCCTCTTATTTTGGGAGCATCTATTGAATTATGGGGTCGATCTGTCCTGCAGAGCCCCTTATTTGCAGTGCGATGTTTGCTCGGGTTGTGTGCCTTATGAAACACTTTCGGCTATAACTTACCTTCCGTCCTCTAATAAAACGCTCGTTAAATGCGCAAGTGTCTACTTATGTTGCCTATACGAGTAAGTTAAGCCAATAGAATAACCACCGGTGGTATTTGCAACCTTAACCCATTATAGACTAGCGGTCCCATATGGTACCACTTTTTTGTGTGTTTTAATTTGGCTCTATACATTAACATGTGAAAAGATGCAGTGCTCTGATTGATGCAAATCGTAGCCAATAGATATGGTATATGCTAATAGGAATAAAAATTGACAGTTATTCTTTTCAGTTGTGTGTAATTGATGATTGAAGTGAGCGCATCAAAATTTTCTCTTAAAAATTGACGCGCCATAAAATTAAGTGATCATATTTTTTTTGTGTGATAGTGAAATACTGATTTTGTTACAATCTTGTATTCTCCATAAGTGCTTTTATTGTGAAATGGTGTAAAATTACGTCGATAGGTAATAATAATGGGAAATATTGTATGTCAAAATTACTGGTACCGTACGGTACCGCTAGCCGCTTACCGTGTCTTTTTAATTATTTTATTATTTTTAGTTTTTACTGTATTTATTGGGAAGTATGTGATATATTCAATGGTATATATGGTATACAGGAAGATAAAGTAAAATAGTTTCCTATACTTTACAAAACCATAGGTTTTTATTTATTTTAGATGTAACTTTCACAAACATTGGCAGTTTTGGAGGACGATGAAGGTCCCAAGACGAAGCAGAAATTTATAGAACGAACTCAAGATAATTGCAACTCTCGAACAATATCAGAGTATAGAAAATGTAACGTGGGGCTATGTGCAGCGTGCAATGCCAAGCTCCATTCCAAATTTTTNTCCTAACTTGTTTCAATGCATATACAAACCGATTGATTCTTATACAGAGATCATCTACATGTGCCTTCCAATTAATGTCTTGGTCGATTGTTATACCTAAAAATTTTGTTTCGGATGCCTTCTTGATTGCTACATTTCCAACATTTATATTTAAATTAAAATTATATTGTAAGTGTTTGGATTGATTAAATTGTATGTAATTAGTTTTATTCAGATTAATTGTCAAATTATTGTTGTCAAGCCATTGGATAGTATTATGTAAAGTATTGTTTATGTCAATTTCGTGGTCCTTAATTGTATTTATTTTTTTGTCAGTGGTTATAATTATTGTAATGTCATCAGCAAATAGAATACATTTATGATTTGTTACGTCAGATAAATTATTTATGTATAATAAGAATAGGGTGGGTCCCAATACACTCCCTTGTGGGACTCCACTCTTGTTTTGTCTTTCGTCAGACGAGTAAAATAAAAGATCTTTATTTTTGGTTAATCCGCTAATGACTACTTTCTGTTTGCGGTTTGATAAGTATGATGCAAGCCATGTGTACGCAGGCCCCCTAATGCCAACTTCATGAATTTTGGTAAGTAGTTTCTCATGGGAGATATGGTCGAATGCTTTCGACAAATCAAGAAACAGTGCAGTAGTCAACTTATCGTCATTCACACTATTTAAAACATGATGCGTTAGCGAAAAAATTGCTGTAGAAGTTGATTTCAATTTTTGAAAGCCGTACTGTTCACTGTTGATTAAATTGTATTTGGTTATGAAGTTTGTGAGTCTATCTATTATCAAAAAAACAAAAATCTGACACCTTAAGAAAACTCAGTCTATAATGGGTTAACACTAGGTGTGTCATGGTCGATTTTTATTTGATAAGTAAAATACATGAAGTAGACCAAGTGTGTGACATTAATGTTAACAGACCTAATGTACTACAAAAATATCAGACCGTTAATTTGAATCGTAATCTAAGTCAGCATTGGTTTTACTAAGATAAAAAACACTGTCAACTTAAAAATTTATCCTAATCAAAAATATTTCGAATTCAAACAACCACTTTATTTTATACCAATGATAGTGGCGAAATGCGTACAAAAATATTTGGAGACCCTTCAGCTAAATGTCAAGACGCATTCCTCAAAATTTTGAGTGAATTCCAGGTTGCCCCTCGTATTTTGGGCTAAGAGACGAGCCTTTGCGAAGAATTATTTGAACATTATGAAATACTGGGATAGTAAAATTAAGTTTGTGTACTTATTATTTCAATTATAAAAGCAACAAAGAAGTTAGGAAGTACACAGACAAAATTTCTAAGACTTAATGGATCAAACCAGTGCTTATTATTCATCTCTACTGAGAAGTAGTACCGCAAAGTTAAATCTAAATTTACATCTTGTAGCATATTCCCCGTTTTAATTAGGTAACCCCGAGCCACCAGTCTGTTAAGGGTGGATTTCCATAATTTTCCGATGACAGTTTCTATTCGCCACACGCCGTGGTCTGTGAGATTTCCAGTTTATGGGCCACGACTGCATGTAGATTGCGTGGATAATTGAAATGGGCAGTGACAATCGCCTCTGTTATTCAGTTGGGTAGGTCGGTTTTTCGTCATGCACAATCTTAATCTTATTCTATCGATGTTTTTTTATGAAATTTAACTAAGGGTGTCAGATTTTACACCTTATTTGGTGCCCTTAAACTTTGAACCCCTAGGACCTCTGATCAGATCACTTATTCTGTTATTTAACTAGGTAGGTAAACCTCGTACTTTTGTATTCTTTTCACACGTAAGTTTCTTAGTAATGTTATTATTAGTCTCCACATTACCAGCTGTCTTTCTTTACTTACCTACTTAATCATGTTAATGAAGCTACTTCGGAAAATGTGCAGACATGTAATCTTGACAGTTAAGGTTCACTTTATTATGCACCTCCATACGCCAGCTGGTTGCACTCCACTAACCCCTTCACAGCGCCAAGGAATCTCTAAACAAAGTGTCCTCAAAAGACCTCAACGAGAAAACATTAGCATAGATTTTATTTAGCGCCAAGCTGGATAAAGACGCTTCCGTAACAGAATACAGCGGGGGTTTAGTAAAGCAGCATTGAGCTACTTCGCTTGAGCTTCTCTGAATATGCATGACCAGGCTCCAGCCTATAGCCACATACGTCTAGTTCAGCCGGGCTCCGAATTAGAAAGTAAAGCAACCAAGATTATGGAGGATGGAGACTTAACTAAGGGTTGTGGTGAGGTAAAAGAACTGCAAAATAATAATATGAACTATTTAAGCCTTTAACGGGCATAACAAGACGAAATATTTCATTGTTTCTGGATATTAAGTCTGAATAAAGTTTAAAATATGGTGGGAACTATATTCCTACTCTCGTATAAAGGGTTGAATAAAAACTTGCTCTAAGTTGCTATAGTTTCAAGTTTTCAAACCTTTATAAAATTCATGAATGCCTTCGTGAAGAAACACTACAAAATAAATGTGACTTACTAAGTGCCTGACCATTGTTTAAAGATAGAAGAATTTTCTTTTGCCTAAGCAAGACAATGGAGACGGTTGCAGAAAGCACCTTATTCTTTATTTTAATTATGCATCTACAAATTGTATTATGATAAAACTGAATATTAAGAGATAAATAACATTAGGCAGTGAATTTAAATATACTTTAAAGTTTAATCCTTTGCCATTTCCATCTACATTTCAGACTCCGTCTTTATCACATAAATTTTTAAAAGCCAGTGGGACATCCGTCTCAGATTTTATTGCTTCAGAAAGGTTCGTTCTGTGCCAAAAGCAGGATTAAACTAACTAAGCCAAACCTCATGAAAATCTATGCAGGAAACTTCGCATTATAACTCTATCAGTCTGATCCTATACCTACTATAAATTGCTATACAGCTAGCTCATTTCATGGGAAATTCATAATTAGGTAATTGAATTCGAGTAATAAGAGCTGTACTATTAAGATGGTACTTAACTAATTGGTATTAATATCATAGAAACATGGATAATAAAACTAAAACTACTTTTGGCTCAAACTAACGAGTGAATTCTTCAATGAATACTACGAGCAGACAAAATTATATTTATTGACACGTACCATACGCAACTTACAAAACAAAAATCTCCAAAGAATTGCTTGTAACATAAACTATGTATTTCGTGTAAACTTATTCTCTTCTTAAAGTCAAGAAAGACAATTCAGTTGAAAATTCAGAACACTTAGTTCATCCCGAACCATCTGAGATTTATCCGGAGCGAGTTGTGTCTTGTCTCGTAGGGACAAAGCAATTTTCGTTAAGAGGCTATTTGAGAGCATGCTCTGGAGTCAGCTTAGCCACCATTTTGCTTTCTTTCGTTAGAGCTTCAATATTGGCAAGCGTACAATTTTACTAGAGAATAAGATACAACAAAATGTTTAGAATAATTCGGTGTAAGTAAGTTGTTTACGCATTGGATGGCATACCTTGACCTTACGGTATTTCATTAAAGATTTTCACCAACGATAGAGCATCGTGTTTGTAAATAAGTCTGTACAAAATTCATTGATCTGTCTGGATTATGAAAAAAACTTTTTCTGTAAGAGAAAGAAAAAACATGTTTCTAAAGCATGTTTGATGCTGATGTTAAATCTAAATTACCTACTACTCTACTGTCAGTCTCTACTACTCTACCGCTGGACATAGGCGTCCAACACAGATCACTAACGACACTAACGTATTCCTTCTACGTTAACAGGGTCACAGGTCTTGTGTGGAATTCACCCCATCTGCATGCAAAAAAATATCAAAAATTAAGGCTTAGTAGGTAAGAAAAAATAAAGTAGAAAGTACTTACTAGATAAGTAAGTCGACTGCAGGTAAATTCTGAAGGTCCATGAAAAATTTTCGCCTTTATTTCATCTTATGCCGGAAAGGTCAAAATGTTGGCACCGCGCTCTCTCTGGGCTGCCAAGCTGGGCGTTAGCGGTGTAGTGCCAGCTCTTGAATCCCTGAAGTATGCACTGAACTCAAATTTCTACGTGATGACGTTTGGAACAGAACTTAACTGGAAAGTAAATAAGTTTGGAAGATTATTAGAACAAGCTCGGCTTAATTAAATTTGACGGCGACAGTGGTGGACGCTACGGGATTTAGAGCAAAAGGACGCAGAATAAAATGCGACTAGCAGTAAACTTTTGTGTGATTACAAGAGGAATTTGGATAAATTGTGATATCTAGTTCGAGCTTATGGATTGAGTTATAAATTATTAGAAAGTTTATTTGGTTCTTAAGTTTGCCTGGTTGTAGCTGTACAGTTTTTTTAGTATGAGATGCCAGAATACTCAGTAAGATAAACTATGCTAAAAATGGCAAGTAATTATAATATACCTCCTTTGGAATTAGGTACTTGTACTTCTGTAATTCTTAAGGATGTAGTTTTGTTGCTCTTAAATTTTTCTCTTACATTGATTTTATAAAATCACATGAAGATATATGATGAGCGTTAATGTTACTTTCACAAATGTAAAGCTCAGACCAGACGGTAGTAAATTAAGAAGTAGGTACGTCATTATCACGTCATCTACATAAAATACAAACTACAGACTAAAATGTTGCTTACAATCTAATTCTATTTTACAGCTGGTCATAGCCTCGCACTATTATAAGGCTGAGTTGCACCACCTAACTTTAACGGTAACTATAACGATAACCTGTGCTTTTTGTATGGAGTTTGACAGATTTTTGACGTTTGTTAAAGTTAAAGTAAGATGGTGCAACCCAGTCTAAGAGACGACCATTTGACTTTTGCATCGAGAGTGCAAGCTTTTGTGGCATAATAAAAGCTTTACCGTCTGTCTCGAGCTATGAAAATCATAATAAGTATGATCGTAAAACATTGAACAATGCAATATAATGGATACTTATTTTAAATAGTGCGTTTACCTTTATGTTACCACTTAACGAGAATGTAATAAAATAAGTGCCTCTTTGTTAAGAGTTGTTGTGAATAAGCTTATTAAGACTTGGATAATTAGGTACTTAATTCATCATCATCATCATTTCAGCCAGATCGCACGGTTGGTAGCGGCCTGCATCCAGCGCCTCCTGCTACCTTCATCAGGTCGTCGGTCCACCTTGTGGGTGGACCTAATTGCTTAATTAATATCTTTTTTTGAAAAAATAGTTTTGGTGACATAGACGGCGACAGTAAAGACAGGATATAAACATCATCAAACAATAACACTTATACAATCATTGAAATCGATAATGAAACTTTAATATTTCTTCGTACATTCTAAAATACCTTTGTTTAAACTAGGGAATGTTGTTAGTTGATCCCAATAGGAAAAGCGATAAACAATATTGCTGGGAATAAGAAAATTCAATACTGAACGTATTGTGGCAACAAGATGCTATGGAAAAACTAATAAATAACGCGTGGTTGGAGGTTCCCAGTTTAAGTCGGGGCACGTTTTTCTTTCAATAAAGATTCGGGTACCTACAACGTGTAGCAGAAACGGTATTTGTGGATAGTCCAAAGATAACTCAGCTATTTTTAGTCATTGTCGGGAATATTTTGAGGTTAGGTGAATATTTGGGAAGCTAATATGATTAGAAGGCATTAAAATAATATTATCTTTGGGTAAAAATACTTCTAAAGTTGTTTTATTTATAGTTGAATCGAAGGTTCCCGAATCCAAATTAACATAGGTACTTGGTTGTGCAAAGTACCTAACATAATGGTTTATGTGTTAAGCACCACAACTTTGGTAATTATTTAG